TATCAGCTCGGGGTGGACCCCGGCCGGCTCCTCACCCCTGTAGGGGGGTAGCGTCCACCCCTCCCCCCTCGTCCTGGCTCCTCAGCTGAGCCCCCCGTCGCCCTCCTGGGGAAGCAGCCCCCTTGCCAGCCCCCCTTGCCCGCCCGGTGCCCCTACTCACCAGCTCCAGGGGAGGGGATGGGGCCTGTGGCAGAGCCAGGGGATGAGCAGTGAGCACCCCCCAGCACATTGGCAAGTTGGCACCTGTAGCTCCAGCCCCGGAGTCGGTATCTATACAAGGAGCCGCATATTAACTTCTGAAGAGCTGCATGTGGCTCCGGAGCCACAAGTTGGCCACCCCTGCCTTAGAGTCTGGCTTGTCCACACCTAATCATGATGTTAGTACCATGTGCTAACATATGTATACATGTGAATCCTATGTGAACACAATTATAATTTTGGTAAAAGCAGTAGTGTAGTCAGAATCTTATACTTTTAATGGTATCTTCTGCACCCTTGTTGGTAGATTTTAAAAATACTAGAATATCTCTAAACAGTAACATGAGGACTTGTTCTTAAACAACTTGCTGCTGTAGTTGTAGCACCGTCTTTAGTATAAAGCCTGTCCAATTATACTTTCTAGATTCCTTTGTAGGATTTCTACTCTCAAGACTGATGTATCATGAAACCTATGATAGCCACAGGGGCTGCAATTCTACTGATAGTATTGTGGAGTCTTTCCATGTACAATTATGAAGGTGATTCTGCAGTAGTTCGTCCATTTAATCTAAAAGCTAATAACAGTTTTAAGAACTCTGACGCTTTAATCTTCAACATTGTAACATTACTGCAGCAAAGTGACTCAGGCGAAGTTTGGAGAGTTTTAGCCATTTTGATGTTCAGACTGTTTTTCATTTGAAATTTTGATATTCAGAGCTTTCTGGTCATGCAAACTATTAACCTACAATTTAGGCTGCTTCTGCTACAGTATTTAGATATTCTGGCAGACATATAAAATGAAACTACAGTATGGTTTTTCTCTCCTGTTTTTCTTCTTTTTTTGTTGCCCCCTTTTTTTGCTAAGGGAAAAGACCACTTAACTCTTAAAATCATCAAGGGTTGAAATGCATTCATTTTAACACACTGGACTAGTAATAAAGAAAACATAACTTAAAAACCAGTGAAAAACTCACTAATATTTCCAGATTCTTCCTGCTGAGTTTAGGAAATTGGGATCTATTGTAAAACATAGCTTGGTAGCTGACCAGAACTGGAACTAAAACATCTAACTATATAATAAAGAATGTACGTGGGGCTGAGGCTGCAAGGAAAATGGACAGCATTTGTAGCTTGTGGAGTGTGTTCTTCTCTTGAGGCGCCAGTGGAATTCCCATTGTATTCATGAGAGCACCACAAAAGAATCAAGCTCCCAAAAGAGCATGTCTGGGTTTTCGACTCTGCATGTTTCTTGGATTAAGAAAAAAAAATGGAGAAACCCAACTGCTAAACTAGCAGACCATTTTCCAGGAAATGCAGAACATTAAGCCAGATTAAACATTTACTTTTAATTACTGTAGTTATGCTGGCTGAATGAAAACAACTGACAAAGAATTAAAACATTCAGTTCTTACGTAAAAAGCAACAGAGGGTCCTGTGGCACCTTTAAGACTAACAGAAGTATTGGGAGCATAAGCTTTCGTGGGTAAGAACCTCACTTACGTAATTCTCAACAGGAAAATCATCTCTATTAGCAGTTATTGAGTGTTGATATTTTTATTTGATCCTTTTGGCTTCCAAAGCAAAGTGTATGGCAAAACATCAGCTTCCCATTTTTACTCTAAAGTAATAAATGCTTCTTAAATAAAAATATCAACGACCAAGCTGTAAAACCTGCAGAATTTTTGAAGACCAAATCTTCTGTTATTTTCTACTCATTTGCTGCTTCTCTGTATGGGAACAAATGGTGTTTTATTCATCAGAGGATAGATTTCTTTTGGGGTCCTTCCATCAGCTTTATGGCTAGTAAATTGGTATCTCAATAGAAGGAAAGAAGCATTTGGTACTATGGTGGAAACCTAAGTATTTTTTTCATTTAAGTTACTAATCTTTTAATGACCTGTTTTTCTAACTTATTTACATTTTAATGTTTTAATGCTAAAATAATTAAAAAATTGAGGTTTTTCTACTTGTGTCAAGAAATCCCTATGGGCATCTTGGTATTGCTAACTAAGCAATAATTCTTATTTCAATTAACTGGGTTTTTTGGCAGGAAGTAATAGACCATTTTGTGTATTATTCTGTGCAAAATGTTGTTTGTGAACTGTTTTGTTCCTTCTTTTCTAAACACAGGGTATTTTAGCTAACTAATTACGTTTTCAAAATATTAAATGGATAATACATCCTAACTACAGAGAGAAAGTAAATGTAAAATAGGGGGTAAAAAAGGACAAAGGAAGAAATATAATATCAGTCTTTAATGGAGAACAAGGAAAAGATGCGCAGTGCATGGATAGAGAAGGAATTGTACTGCATTAGTCTTTTAACAACCAAAAAGATAATTTACCTGCAAAACTTTAACTTAATTAAGTAGAGTTAACGTCGTACTTTTCAGAAGTTGGCATGGGAGATCACCACTGGATTACAGATGGATACCTGGAACATCCATTGACTAGTGAAGAGGGATGAAATGGATTGAGATCAGAGGTGGGGCTACTGTGTGATCAGGCTGGGGACTTCAAAACAGGGAGCTGACAGGCTGGCAAAGTGAAGAGGGCAACAATGAAGGGAAGATTGGGAGAGAAAGTGTCAGTGAAACCTGAGATGCTTAGCTTCTTGGGTGGTTGTGTCCTAGGACGCAAGATATAACTGAGAGGGTCTTGGGTTTACTGCAGCCCTCCTCTCTCTCTACACCTCAAAAAAAAGAAAAATATATGTGTAATTACCTACAAACACATTTGCTTACTAATATTAGTAGGAATCCACAGTTTTAGTCACAGGAGATTGCTGGTAACTTAGTACTAAAGGGTTAAATAAGTAAAGTTGAACTATATCACCAAACTCCATTTATTCATTCATACAAATTATTCAAAAGATGCATATCTTTTGCAAACTATTTCCAAATGCATGTCTGGCTTCTGTCTTTTTTTTTTTTATAAGTCAGTAGTGCTGCCAAGTCTGATACTGCTACAGCTACACTAACTTCTCTGAATGATGCAAATAATAAATAGGTTCTCTGTTATTTCACTCTGAAATTAAAATTTATCTGGTACTTTGGTCCAAAAAGTTTGGGGTTTTAGCCTGTGCTACAATAAGTGTCTGCATAATTACCACATCATCTAAATCAATGGTTCTCAACCTTTCCAGACTACTGTACCCTTTTCACGAGTCTGACTTAGGGTTGCCAACTTTCTATCTGCAGAAAACCAAACACCCTTGCCACATCCCTGCCATGCCTTCTCTGAGGCCACTCCCTCCCTCTCTCCCTCCATCGATCGCTCTCCCCCATGCTTGCTCATTTGCTTATTTTCACCAGGCTGGGGCAGAGGGTTGGGGGATGGGGCGGGGGGGGGAGGGCTATGGGGTAGGGGAGAGAGCTCTGGCTGGGGCAGCGAGTTGGGGTGTGGGAGGGGATGAGGGCCCTGGCTAGGGGTGCAGCTCTGGGGTGGGGCCAGGGATGAGGGATTTTGGGTGCAGGAGAGGGCTGGGGCAGGGAGGTGGGGCACAGGAGGGGATGAGGGGTGCAGGCTCCAGGCAGCACTTACCTCAGGCGGTTCCTGGGAAGCTGCCAGCATTGGTCGTGCTTTGAGCAGGGGGTTGGACTAGATGACCTCCTGAGGTCCCTTCCAACCCTGATATTCTATGATCTCTCTCCGCCTCCTAGGCGGAGGTGCGACCACGTGTCTCTGAGCCAGGGGTCCCCAACATGGTGCCCGTGGGCGCCATGGCGCCCACCAGGGCATCCATATGCGCCCGCCTACTGGCTGCCAGACAAGCAGCCACCGAAATGCCGCCGAGAAGCGGCAATGTCAAGAAGTGCTCCCGCCGAATTTCGGCGGTGACGCCTCTTGATGACGCTGCTTTATGGTGGCATTTCGGCGGCTGCTTGTCCGGCAGCCAGTAGGCAAAGGTTGGGGACTGCTGCTCTGAGCGCTGCCTGCGCCTACAGGCGCCATCCCCTCAGCTCCCATTGCCTGCTGTTCCTGGCCAGTTGGAGCTGCTGAGTTGGCACTGGGGGCAGAGGCAGCACGAAGAGCCCCCATGGCCACCCCTACGCCTAGGAGCTGACGAGAGATCCCGGCAGCTTCCCAAGAGCTGCATGGAGCTGGGTAGGGAGCCTGCCTGCACCGCCAACCAGACTTTTAACGGCAGTGCTGATTAGAGCCGCCAGGATCCCTTTTCGGCTGGGCATTCCGGTCGAAAACTGGAGACCTGGCAACCCTAGTTTGATTTTGTCTTGTGTACCCCAATTTTCACCTCACTTAAAAACTACTTGGTTACAAAATCATACATAAAAATACAAAAGTGTCACAGCACAATATTAGTGAAAAATATTTGCTTACTATCTCATTTTACCATATAATTATAAAATAAATCAATTGGAATATAAATATTGTACTCACATGTCAGTATATAGTATTTAGAGTAATATAAATAAGTAATTGTATGAAATGTTAGTGTACTGACTTTGCTTGTGCTTTTATATAGCCTGTTGTAAAACTAGGCAAATATCTAGATGAGTTGATATACCCCCTAGAAGGCCTCTGCATATCCCTGGTTGAGAACCACTGATCTAAATTCTTCTAATACTGGAGTTAACACAAGTATATTGCAGTTAATTTAATAATTTGATAAAGGTTGTCCTTCAGCCTTTCACAAAAGATCAGTTATTTTTCTACCTGTTCAGAGACTCTAAGCTCAAAGTTTGCAACAAAATTGTTTTATATAAGAACACTATTTGGGGAGTGAAGAGCAGATGAAGTGTTTTCAAAAGTAAGTAACCAGACATTTTTTTTTCCTTCTAGAAAAGTTGATTGCTTATCAGCGGGAATTTCATGCTTTGAAGGAACGTCTTCGTATTGCTGAGCGTAGAACCCTGCAGCGTTCCTCTGAGCTAAATGCCATCTTGGAGCAATTCAGACGTGCAGTAGCAGAAACAAATGGAAGTAAGGATGCATTAAACAATTTTTCAGGTACAAGACATGATATAGGGTTTTTTTAAGCTTAATGTTTTACGGCTTTCGATTACTGATGTCTATTGTATATAATTATGAAAGGAAAATATCCTAAAAAACCAAATGCTTGGAAACCATCCAATTGTGCATATAACTAGTTTATGTAACATGTTCTTATCTCTGGTACCTCTCCCCCTTCCTTCATCCTCCATTCCCTCTGTTTGTTATATCCACTCATTGTATCATATTTTAAATTAGATTGTAATCTCTTCAAGGACTATATACTTGCTCAAGTGCCTAGTAAAATAGGTTTGGGGCTTCTGGGTGCTATTCAGTACAGGTAATCTGGCAGCAATTTGTATAATATCTTTACACATTTTAAGCTAAAACTGATGAGCAACTTAAAAAAGAAAACTAGTAATTCATGCAAATGTTAAAAGTAGAATGAAATCCTCTTTACCTACCAGGATCTGATTTGGGGATTCTGTGTTTCTAAAGTTTGCCTTTTAAGCAATGCAAAGTGTAGTAAATAGCAGTAAACATTTGTTACCCTTTTCTGCAAAACTGATAATTAAATATTTAAAAATAATTATATCTTATTCCTTTTCATCAAATTATGAGGCAAATCCTCAAAATTAACAAGAGCTGTATATGGAAAGATTATTAGCTTGTAGCCTAGCACAACCATATTGTAACAATTTTGTCACTGTTTCTGTTTTGAAGTATATTCCCCCAATTTTAAGAGATTTAATTTCTCTCTAAAAAGTCAAAATTGCCAAAAATATTTTTGTTCCAAAGGACCTCAGTCTGGAGCTATTTAAACCAATACTCCCTGATTTTCTCCATATGAGAGAAGTACACCTAAAACAAATTTTATTTGAGGTCTACTGTCACTTCCTAGTACTACTATAGAACGTTGAAAAACTTGGACAAGTAGTGTCTTTTATAGAAAGATGAGTCTACTCTGTACTCTACAGCTCATGTCTTAGGTCCTCCAGCCAGGGATTGATTAAAAAGTTGTCCCTCGGTACATTAATGCCTCACTCTTCTGGATTTTAGATAGCCACCTGGGATACCAGGAGCATTGGGAACATTACTTTTTTAAATCTGCATGTAACATATCATGTGATTTTTCTTTCTGATGTGTACATTGCCATTGTTAGCCATGTCATTGTGATATCCATATTGGACTATTGCAATGCATTCTCCATAGTGGTTTAAGACTGTAGAACATTTAGAAGCTAGAGATCATGCAGAATTAGAGATGAGCCTGAGCCATAAAGTTTGGATCTGGATCTTAATCTGAACTTTCACAAAGTAAAGAGCTGGTTGGATCTGGAGTTTTAGTTTGTGTTTGTCTTTATGTAAAATGCATTGGCCTTCTTGTACAGAGTGTTTGGCCGTAAGAAATCATATTATACCAGTTCTCCAAAGACTGCACTGTCTTTTTTCTGTTCACTTCTTGGTGCAATTAAAAGTAGTAATATACATCTTTAAAATTCTATATGGGTGGGGCATAGTTGCCTAAAAGATAGGCTCCCTTCCCATGTGCTGCCCTGCCTTCTGAGGTCAACTGTGGTATTCTCACTAACAATCTCAGATTTTAACAAATGGTGGCAGTGTTTTTTTGCTGGAGAACCTTCTACTCTGTAATTCACTTACCACATTGGTTTGACAGAACCCAAGTCAAGACTTTTTGGGAACAACATAAAGACTAACTTTGCACTGTGACTTTTTCCTGGGGGGGATGTATGGGCTAGGTATAATTATTTTTAACGTGTAATTTTGGGATTGTTGCCTCTTATTTTGGGTTGACACTGGTTCACCAATTCTTGTGTTAAATGTAATGAACTGTAAATGTGCCAGAGATTACTATTATAGGTATATTTTAAATAACATATAAATACTCAAATCTATATTGTATTTGTTTAGTACCTTAGATCTAGAAGGAATCCAAATTGCTTTACAGATCTTGTCATTCATCCACCCTGGAATACATTTGGGTGAACTTCCGCGTCTACTTCTGCAATTGAAACTGCAGAGAAAATTTTGGCAGGAAGAGTGTAATCACCCAAATTGGAATTTAGCCCACACATCGAAGCGAACACCTCTACTCATTGCACTTTGTACAAGGGCCTTTTCAAGACTATAAGTAGTCAGGAGTTTAGTATTAGATTTCATCCAAAAAAGGCATCTCCAGTTGTATAGGAAACACTGGTTCATTTCAGCATCCCAGGAAAGAGTGATATCTACTGAGTCACCATCACTTCTAAGGTGGGTAGGTTTTCTTTGGAAGTCTCCAAACCAGTTTCTGACCTGACCTGATCTTTATGAGACTCATGAGATCTCGAAGGTCAATATGAGGTGCTATGGCTTTTTTTCTAATTAAAAAATTTGGCTATGGTTTTCATATTTGATTTAAGAGAGTTGACACATACTGGCAAGGGAATTTCAAAGCTGATATTTATGATCCATTGTGGAAACATCTTTAGAACTTGTTTAACTTCAGTATTTAACTGCAGTAAATAATTCATATGCCTACTTTTGTTAGGTGTATCTGTTCTTACAAAAAGTATATCCAAATTTAATTCCTGGACTGTTGCACCGTGTACCATATGTAGTCCTATTTTTGTGCAATATATTTGTGTGCAATGTATGTAAAAATGTGCATGCAATTTTGAAGTTATTTATCTGAGGCTTAAGTCATTGCTTGAGCTCCTGTAAGAGTAGATACAGATTATTTTGAATTTTTGGGGAATAATAAGCCCAATATACTGTATAATATAAAGACACACCAAAGGTAAAAATTTATGGAGGATTCTACTCAAGGTGAGTTATTTCCTCTCTATCATTGGTCAGAGCACATTGTAATTCACATGCAATGATATAAGTATGATGTTCCTGTTTCCAGAAAACTATTAAAAATCAATCTTGTTCATAACTTTTAAAAATTAAAAACAGAAAAGGTTTTACTTCCTGGTACACAAATCTTAAAAATGTTTCCTAACTCAAACAAAGCATGAATGAATTATCAGTTTTGGAATTGCATATGATTTATTGCTGCATAAACATATAGCCTCTCTGATTAATTTTCTGCATTATTGGTTTTATATGTGTTTGCAGATGAAACGCTGAAATTGTTAAAAGAGCTAACAAGCAGAAAATCTCTTCAAGTGCCAAATATCTATTACCATTTGCCTCATTTGTTGAAGAATGAAGGAAGCCTTCAACCTTCTGTGCAGATTGGCCTGGGACGAACAGGCGGTATGCTGGCATAATTTAAATAATGCTTATGTGTTTATATATAAAAGAATATGTCTGAAGGACTTCCTAATTTTATTTTGGTAATATCATAATTTAATGTATTGTTTGGTAGCTGCAACTTTATTTGTATGATATCTCTTAGAACTCACACTGAATCCAAGATGAAAGGAGTTGTCTTCAGTTTTGCTCTTTACTACATAATCCCAGATCACACACTGCCCCAGGTGCTAAGGTATACAATAAAAAGCACTTAATCGGGATCAATTTGTGTTATCTTTTAATGAGATTTATGAAAATTAACAAGGCATGGAAATATTACAGGCTCTGAAACTAGTTTTCTGACACATCCCTTTGGCTACTCAGATATATATATCAAGCATGGATTTAACCATTTCAAAGTTGGTGTGTCTGGTGTTCCCATCAATAAATTCCAGTGTATAACTCAGAGGACCTGGAATTATGGGTACTTAATGATAATTGGCTTGGTCCTCTCCACAAAAGTTGGACCTTGGTTGGAGGAGAAAAAACACTTCTACTATTAGACTACATGTTTTTTCTCTTACTGATTCCTTATACTTTGTAAAGACACACATTCACCAAAACAAGTGATTAAGCCTCAAAAGTTCTGCTCCTTCATCAGTAGATTTCAACATAATTCCATTCTTGGAGCCACAGTCCTTAAAGCAGATAAAGCCCAACCAGGGTCATGTACTTGGAAGCATGTCTGCATGTGTATAAGGCATGAAGGCCCGACATATTAATCCATTTGTGTCTGTCTGCTGTTTGATCTGGAGCTGCTGATTCTCTCATAATTGAAGCTTCCTTGTTTTGATAGTAGTTCTGTGGGTTTGATTCTGTCCTTGTTATAACAAGATGCATGCCCACATATTAAATATGCAGAATCAAGTCTCATATTCACAATCACACCCACTAACAAAATTGAAATACATATTTTATATGTAGGGCCCTTCTAAATTCATGTCCGTGAAAAATGGGTCATGGATCGTGAAATCTAGTCTCCCCCATGAAATCTGGTCTTCTGTGTAGTTTTACCCTATACTATATTATAGGGAAAAAAGTATAGAAAAGTACACAGTGTTTTTCAAACAGGGGGTCCTGACCCAAAAAGGACTGCAAGGCTATTGTAAGGGGGTTGCGGTATTGCCACCCTTACTTCTGCACTGCCTTCAGAACTGGGCAGCTGGAGAGTAGCAGCTGCTGGCCGGGTGCCCAGCTCTGAAGGCAGCACTGCCACCAGCAGCAGTAAGGGTGGAATGGTAGGATGTATTGCCACCCTTACTTCAGCGGTGCTGCTGGTGGTGGCACTGCCTTCAGAGCTGGCGTCCAGACATCTGCTCTCTGGCCATCCAACACCGAAGACAGCGCAGAAGCATGGGTGGCAATACTGCGATTTCCCCTCACACACACACACAAAATGGCCTTGTGACCCCCTCTTGGGTCAGGACCCCTAGTTTGAGAAATGCTGACTTAAGAGCTTTACATGTTTATATTTTCTGTTTTAAAATACATATTCATGCTTTCTTACAACACCATGAAATTTAAGATTTAAATATCTCAAACTGTGAAATTCAAGATTTTTAAAATGCTATGACTCTGAAATTTACAAAAATGGATTGTGAATTTGGTAGGACCTATTTATACATACACCTCTACCCCGATATAACGCTGTCCTTGAGAGCCAAAAAAATCTTACCGCATTATAGGTGAAACCGCGTTATTTTGAACTTGCTTTGATCCGCCAGAGTGCGCAGTCCCACCCCCCCCGGAGCACTGCTTTACCACATTATATCCGAATTCATGTTATATCGGGGTAGAGGTGTATTTAACCAGCAAAGTGGAGGATTCAGACTTTCTTCCACAGGTTTAAGCCAACCATATATTATTTCAAAATTTAAATTGCAAAAAAATACAAAATCAAGGGTCCTAAAAACAGTAGAGAAATTAAGATTTACTTCACCATCCTTCTCTTTTTCTGTTGTGCCTGCTGGGTAGGCATTTCTAGTCAATGCAAATTTAACATCACATACCTTTGAGAGATCTGTAGTTTGTAAGCACAAGAGGATGAGTTAAGAATGCCAATCAGCATTTTCAGCTCTAACTTGATTTTGTATATTTAAAGGTGAGATCCCTTTAAGTACAGCTGCTTCAGCACAGGGCCACTATGCTTCCTCACTACTGCATCCAGTCCTACTCATCCCTTTTATTCCCCCCACCTATTCTGCTCCCAGTGGGAGGGCAGCCCTCTGTATTGGGGGTGGGCTAAAGAGCATGAAGATTGAACAGCCATGTGGAAAATAGGGATAGGTGGGTGGGGTTAGCATCAGTGTGGTGGGAGTCAGAGTGCTGGTATTTGGGGTAGTTTATGGGAAAGAAGAGGTTTTAATAAGTTTCTTCTGCAAAAGTTATTAAATATTTTGCTAAAAACACTACATAGAAGATTAGTTTGTGGAAAAACTGTTGTACTAAATTTGGAGACTAAACTCTGAAAAGGGATTTTAGTTTACTTTGTGTAAGTCTCAGTGCGACCTTAACTAACTGATACCACGGTTGTATGCATCTTAACAATACATATATATTAATATTGTGACACTTTCAGCATTTGCTATTTTTTCGTCTGGCTGTGTTTCCCCTAAGAATTGATGTTGTTACTATTAATTGTATTCCCAATAATACTGGTATGCTTTGAAATTGTTTTTGGTTACTGTGTAATCTCTTAATATTTTGAGTGTATTTCTGAATTAATACTTTGTTATATAAAGACTTACATATTGATTGTGCATAAGACTGTTTGTTTTTTATTTAATTTCAGTTTCAATTGTAATGGGAATTCCCACCGTGAAGAGAAAAGTAAAGTCTTATCTTACAGAAACCCTTCACTCTCTTATTGATAAATTGTCTCCAGAAGAGAAACTGGATTGTGTTATGGTTGTCTTCATAGGAGAGGTAATTACTTATGTATTTTTACATCATTAGTATCACATAGCAGTTTATTGTGCAATTTCTAAGAATTGGTTTGAATGTTCTACAAGGACAAATACATTGTTATAGAAAAATGTTTTTGATTTCGTGGTGGTGCATGAAGAGGCAGAGTGAATGGTGCATGTGTTATATTAAGACACATCACCTTGAAGTTTGTGTGAGAAGGACTTTCTGCTCAATAGAGAGAAGATGGAGGAGGAAGGTCCAGGGGATCCGTCATTTTGCAGATCCTCTGGTGCTTGCTCCCACTGATGATGGTGGCATGTGTTGATGCTGGAGAGCACTATTGCAGCTGTTTGGCTGAAGTAGCCTCTGCAGAGGTCCAACTTGGTGGGGAGAATTTATTTCTTGTATATGATCCAATTGCCTGATCGTCCTGCTTTGGGTCCTGTGCTGAGGATTTTGTTCATAATGCATAATAGTCTGTTGACAAATGTTTTGCTGTTTTTATTTTTCTGGACAATAGGTTTCTCTTGCTAAAAGATCATTATTTTTGAACCTGGTCTTTTGGTGGACACTATTCAAACAGGATTCATTGGACAGTTTGGAAAGCTGATTTATTGTTGCTGACTACACTAGATGTTCTAGCTCAGATCCTAAGGACAACAGGGAATCAGTCTCTCTTAGGAAGTATTTTATCAGTTGCTGGAAGAGTTGAAAATCTCTTTTTAGAAATGTGTGCTTTCCCTGGCAGATTGTGGTCTTGAGTTATAGAATGTGGGAGGGTTTATAAAGGACTGATTCTTACTCATCTAACTGTATAATTTACTCATGAAGCAGTGTGATCACCTCTGGGGTTCAGAACCTGCATCCATTTGATATGGACAACTGTAAAAACTGTCTCTATTGCACGAGTCTACAATTGTACAGTGGCTGTATTTATTTTAATTTATATAAGCTAGAACCTTTCTATGAGTAAGTGCAGAGCCAAACAGACATGCAAGTGGTTCTAGTTCTGTTATCAGAACATACTGAGAATTCAGCAAATTCTAAGGCCTCCTTTTAAAAGTTTTAGATTATTCCTCTTGAAATGTTAAATTAGAACAACTTGGGAGTCAATTCTAGGTCATATTGCTTTCCATTTTTCCTGCCTGTCAACCATGACCATCAGTCTGGATACTACATTTGGGTAGCTCTCAATCTCCATAAGCTGCAGAAAATGTTTTTAGAGCATCTCATGCAGATTGATAAGAGTGTAAGTGGAATTAAGACCTAAAAATTCAGTGAATTTATTGCTACATGCAATTTTTTCCTGCATTATATTAAAGATGATAAAATTACTTCTAGTTAATGTTTTTCTCATTTCAACCTATAAAATTTAGACAGACTTTTCCTTTTCTATTTTGTTTTGCTGGGGTGGTGAAGAAGAGGAATTGTTCTCTGCTCTGAGAATAACATTTATCTGATAACCATTCTTCTCCAAAGGTAAAGAAAAGGAGTTGAGATCTGGGTTCAATTCTCAGTTCTACCACAGATTTCTTGTGTGACTTTAAACAAATCACATTTCCATACCTCTGTTTTCCATCTCTGAAATGGGGTAATTCTTCCCTTCTTCATAATGATGATGAGGATATGAAAATCATTCATATTTGTGAGGTGTTCCAACATTCAAAGTCACACACATGCCTGTAAATAAGCAAATTTCAAAATTTAAAACTGCAGCTATATTTTCTTTGGCAGAAGAGGGCTGGATGTGGCTTCATCTGGAGTCTGTCACTCGTGACGGATGTATCAACTGTACTCAAGGTGTTGTTTAGGAACAACACAGTGTACTTCTCACACACATCCTTGTGGGTTTTTGGCCCAGGAGTGAAAGACTAGGCTGAGAACCTGAATTTGAATCCCTGGCATGTTCAAGCATAGTGTATTTGCCACTGTAACTCTTGCCTGGCCTTGCTTTCCTTTCTTTCTTTTTTTCCTTTCTTTACCATTCTTTTTGCTGTATTTTGTATTTTTCTTAAGATCCAGCTTCTTGTGGGCATAGTGTAAAATTTGCCTCAGGAAAAACTCCTTGACAACCAAAACTGTTTAAGAAATATTTCTCACTGAGCAAGCCAGGTGTACTTCAACTTTTTGCCAGCTTCTACAGGCTGGAATTGGTAGTTCTATTAGGAGTCTTGTTTGGTTATTTGAAGGACAGACAACTACTGTTTAATTTAAAGCCTAATCTTGCACCTTAAAGTCAATGAGGATTTTGCCATTGATTTAATAGAAACATGATCAGGCTTCTAATGCACTGTTGAAAGCCTGCAACAAAAAACTCGTACAGCTACATCTAACAGAGAGGAAGATGGTGCCAAATATATCAGCTTACCATCTGTGGTAATTATGACTGTAGCTCTGGGTCTTTCACTGCTGATTGATTTTATTTCATCCAAATATCAGTATATGGCAAAGCTAATTTTCCCAGTAACTATAGAATGGCTATGCTGCCTCCACATCTCATTTGTCTGGGGTTTACTTCAGTAGCCAGAAGATCCTTTTCTGCCGTGCCCTGACCCCTTCATTGTTTCTAATTTTTTTACCTGCATTTTATTTCAAAATCTTTTCTAGATGAATATTTTATGTTCATAAATGTCAAGGAATGTCTAGAGTTGGGATCATCAGTTCTTTATATATACCTGTAAGCTAGTAATAGAGCAGGCAGACTCAGAATCTTTGCCTATTCCCAGTCCTGAGTTGCAGTTAAACTACTAGTGAAGCCCATAGGGGTTTTGCCACTAACTTTTCAGGAAGAGCAGGAGGGCATGCTTAGTAGCGAGGAAGTGATTCAGCCTTTAGGGTCTGCCTTCTCTGGGTAAGAAATAATGCCACCATCAAGTTGGTGAAGAATGAGACATTCATTAGTTTTTAAAGGAACATGGTCAACTTGAAAAACATTTCTGCCTACATTTTTTTTTACCTAGTTACAAGTAACACCTAAGATATTGTAATTGAAAATTCAATGGAAAAATATTTTTCGCTGATTTTTCAGTTTTATTTTACCCCATCATCTCCAGATGTGGTCTGTACAGGTCTGACCCCAGATTCTCCCCCATGAGACACCAAAGTGGCAGTGGTACCAGCAGCTGGAGGTCCCTGCTTGTGAGATCCATCCCTTGGGTTAGACAGTGGTACGAGTTGGACCCATGCAAGAGCTCTTCCCCTAATCTGGTTGGTTATGTGAGGCAGAACACCCTCCATTCCAAGGGAGCAGCCCTTGAAAAGCCCATTTCTCTACAACAGGCACCAGAGGTGGGGGTGGCTAGAGCAGGGGGCCATCAAAGCAAGAGATCTGCATCTTCTCTTATGTTTTGACAAATAATTCATTGTTCTTCAAGTGCAGCGTCCCTTCAAGAATGAGCTTAGGAGCAGAAGCCAGACCTGCTAAGCCCATGGCATCATCCTGCAGGGCTTCTCACGACAATAAGGGGCACTCTCATACGTGTAAGAACAGATTCTCTTTCAAGAGAAGGGATCCCTCCCCAACTCCATCCAAGTCTAGTGAGCCCTCATATGTGGGCCCTAAGGACTTAGGCTTGCTTAAATCCTCCGATCATGAGGGTAAAGCGTGAAGGATAAAGGGTCTGCTGGTACTGATGTAGGCGCTGATTCATAAGCCTAAATATTGGCACCTAATGACACCATTTAAGAGCGTCCGAGTAGACTCTTTTGGCGGTATTGACCTATCTCTGTAAGACCTGCCATCTACAATGACCATGGATGTGCCAGGGCTGTCAGTCCCAACTATTGGCATGCCCTGGGGTCTGGGACTAACTGAAACTTGCCCCTCTCTGGAGGATATCTTTACCCTGCCATATCCTCGGTTTCCTTTTCTTTCGGGTCTAACCCTCCTGAGAAACGTGATACCAGAGGAGGAAACTACCTCGGGGAAATGGGAATGTTCCCCTCCTCTGTCCAGAGGCAGAAGCTTTCACCCACTGGTACCGATGGCTCTGTTGGTTGAGCAGGAATCAGCCTTCTCTTTGGAGGAGTTGAAGGCTCCAGACATTCCTTTATTCCCACATAGGGAGGTGAGCTCAGACAGAGATTCAAAACAATTCAGGTCTGTCCTCCACCTAGACACGACTACCCAAGGGACTGATGGTACCTATTGCCATGGGGGCCCTCTCAACCAGTCGACCCTTCATATTAACCCTAGTGGGCCCCATGGGATCCCTATGGCAGGCATCCTGATTCCGTCCATGCGTTCTACCGTACCTCTCCCACTAGTCCCACGCAGGGCTCTTTGAGCAACTGTGTCAGGTCAAATGTCTCGTGTGGTTTCCCCCCCAAGAACTTAAAAACATTATCAGCAGCGTGCTTACAGTGACAAACCTTTATACGAGAAATGGCTCATTTTGCGACAAAAGGAAAAAAGCGTACAACACAAACCAAAGTGAGGGCAGCAGCGGAAGTTCTAGCAAAATGCACAAAGCTTATTTCAAGCTGGACTTTAGGTGGAGTGGGTCCAGCGATGCACCAATGCCTCAATGTATTGTATAGTGCAAAGTACTGGTGAACGACAGTATGTGGCCCTGCAAGGTACACCGGCATCTCGAAACAAGACACCCTAGCTTAGTATCTAAACCCATAGAGTTTTTCCAGAGGAAGCTTTAATGAGTTATAGGACACACAAAAAAACTTGTTGAAGTGTACAGCACTGTTAACAGAAAGGCTTCTTACCGTGCGGCTTTGTGCATTGCCAAAGTTGGTAAGCCAACGACATAGGTGAGAAACTACTACTAGCTGCAAAGGATACGTGTGCGGTGATGATAGGAGAGAAAGCAGCATCACAGCTAGACGTGATCCCACTTTCTAATGAGAGTTCCACGCTGCATTGCAGAGATGGCCACTGATGTAAAAGAGCAGCTCCTAGAAAGTGTTCATCAGAGCCCATATTATTTAATTCAGATAGGTGAGTCTACCAATATATCAAATGCTGCACAGTGTATTCGTTTTTCTACAGCAACAGAATTAAATGA